AACTCAAGAAGAACAATGAATAGCAATACTGAGCAGCATCCTTGCACGATAGACTTTGTGCAACCTTCCTCGGGGTACTAAATCGTGCAGCCCTCACGTTCTCCTTCTTCTGGGCAGCACTGCCAAGCTTTCGTTCCGCGCTGTCTGAGCTGTGTGCGACCGGTCACCCTCAGCAGCAGCCTCCCAGTGGCGGCGAAGCACCACGCAACTTGTGAAAGCCGAAAGAAGGAATAAAGCCCGCCTCGGCGCCAGGGCGGAAGGCACCACCGAATCCCATGCCCTGGCGATGAACAGCACTAGACAGCTGCAGTAGGATGTGAGATTCCCTTCGGATGAAGCTGAGCACTGTAACATGATGCCTGAGAGAAGCACTAGAAGTAAAACCATGCAACGGAATCACTTGAACCGACTCCCGATGATTTAGCTGCACACCACGAGATGAAGTGCTGTTCCCACATGGCAGGCGGGCGATGTCACTGGCTGGCCCTGTACCTCATGCCAGATCTTAGGTCTTAGGCTCGTTTCGATTCTCCAACGGACTGCGGCTGCGCCTCCCGGTGTCGGCAAGGGCGGTGGAAGCACCGGCCTCGTAGGGTCACAGGTCACAGGCCTTCCCTTCGAACCCTTCTTAAACACGTCTGGAAGGCCCCAGTGCGTCACAGAGGTCAACCCCCGGCCTGGACATGCAGCTTCTGTTGCAGCAAAGCGTGTGTGCGCAGGGCCAAGATTCCAACATAACCAAACCACCATCTGCGGGGAATCGCGGCCTCGGACTCTGCACGAGAGCGGCAAGTTGCTGCAACTGCTAGTGTCCGCATGCCACATGAAAAAGCACCCTCTTAGCCCAGCACATTCCCAAAAAGTGCTGGTTGTTCAGAGCTGACCTGATATGTGTGAAATGCAGAATATCAACAACAACTACACGGCGATTGCCGGGGCAGACCAGCCAAGTGCCACGCATCGCACATGGCGATGGTGTTGAAATCGGGGCACCTTGACAGTTGCGCGCACGGTTTCCCGGATTCCGATGTTCCAATGTCTTTAGCTTTTCGCAAGACATGTTTACTTACAACCATGCATCGGTCTGGAACTGCGACACATGAGCACATAACACCCACTCCCCCAAACAGAGCAGCGAGGGGAAGGGTCGGCTCTAGACTGCTCCTCTCTGCCCGCACCCATGTTCTTGGTGTTTATCAAAATTGGTACCCATGTCACTGCTCAACTGATTCGGTAAGGGAATGTTGCACGAGCATTACACAACTCGCTCCGATTGGAAATGCTATCATGTTTGATGGCAAGGCAACTATAGGTCACTTCGTGATTTCGTCGGGTGTACCCATTCCGGACTTGCTGCTGCGCCCACACCTCTTCCGCGTTCCCGTCCGCTTCTTGAAAAGAGCCACTCGTGTTTCCTGAAACCCTGGTAGTGTGCTTTCGCCTGCGAACCGAAACTGTGCGTGTGATGCAGCTTCTCGCGTGCTGCAGAAGGGAAGGAACAAAGCTCTTGAGAATGAGCTGCACAAAGGCATCACAAGGTAACAGGATCGCAGGTTTGAAGGATGCCGACGCAAGGATCAGTGCCCAGGTCCAGGACAAGAAGACCTTCAGCAGGATGCTGCACGGCTCTCTTGCGGACAACTGTGCACGCTCGGTGGGAGATTCCAAGTCCCAGAATCTTCCGTAAACACTCAATCTTTTTGGGTAACCGAGGCTTGGCACGACTTCTTGCTTTACATGCCAGAGCATACAGAAGTGCGAAGGCCACGCCTTGGAACCCTATGAACGCAACCGGATAGACCTCAACAGGTGGAAGGGGCAACGCGGAACGATGAAGACCGCAGGGGGGAAACTGCAGGACCGGAGGCGCATTGGCACCCCTACACCTTTAGGATTTTAAGAGCACGAAACCACTGGCTCGCGCAGTATATGATGCATGTAAGCTTGAAAACGGGCTTTCGGAGAAAACAAGTAGCTTGGCACTGCTAAGCTCTGAGCTTGGGGGCAGCTTAATTGCTTCAACGCTCGGGTCCCCGTCGGTGATTTCGGCAGCGCACCGCACAAAACCAGACTGTTGAAAGCAGTCGTGTCTGGAGCTCCAGCTTTGAGGATCTTGAGGTTTGGGCGGGCACTCATATTAAGGGTAAGGCCAAGGATATTTTTTACCCCTCTTTTCCTTCACCTGAATGGGTCCCCAAGGCCAAGGGTTTATGGATTAGGGCTTCCGACGGAAGACGGCAGCCGCCAGTGCACGGCACAGAGAGCAGCTGCCAGCCTTAAACGGAGTCCGACCCAACAGGGGATGCAGATGCGTTGGAAGCTGAGGACGAGTTGGAGAGTCGCCTCGCTCCCTCCAATCCCCTCTGAAGACCTCTGGAAGGCATCCCAAACAACCTGAAAAGTGGAGGAATAATCTAAAGCGGTGGAAAGAGCGGGCGCGTGCACGCGCCACGGTCCAACTACGGAGCGGGAGTGCCCAACCGCACTCACGGCTGGCAAACCCAAGTCCTCGAAGGTTGTTGACTCTCGTCATCATCGTCGTGGTCTTGGCAGTCGTCATGGACACCGCCAGCAGGAAAGAGATAGGATCTATGCAAAGGTCTCATGGTGGAACTTGGTACATTCAACGGCCTGGGCACAGCCCGCTGCCAATCTGGTAAACAAGCAGAACACGCACAGGCGACCACAGGTGACCAGGACAGGGCAGTACGCCTGGCTCGAAACGATCAGATTACCAGGCCGCCGTAATCAATTTGAAAACGCATAACTGCCTACAAACTACAAATGCGCACAGATCGCTGTGCATCGCCGAACCCTCTCGAATGCATCGCATCGTACTGTTGCTAGCGCTTCCTGAACTGTACACTGCAGTCGAGACTGATTCATGAAACTCGACTCACACGGCAATACTGCTCAGCCGTGGAGACAGGCATCATGATACGTTTTGGTCACGGAAGTCATCAAGCTTTTCCGAATCGAAAGAAAGAATGAAGGCTAAGGCATGAATATGAGCAATGTGCATTTTGTGTATGTAGGCCGTCACGACAGGGGGTCCAAAGATTTCCACTGCACGAAAACGCAGCGGGCAACTTTCACACAGTGTTAAACTGTTGCATCCGGAGCCCCATTTTTGCTGCAACTAGGCTCCAGGCCAGAACCACCACCAAAACTACCGTAGTGATAGTGGGTCGGCCTGGAATCTTGCGTCACTGCGTGTCGCGAACAGGGCATGGCATCTGAGCTCATCATGCAAAGGGCAGATCTGCGAATCCTCTCCTGAACATGGAGACCTCTTAGCAGACGGCTCTGGCGTGTTCTGAACACTTCGATGCGCTGTGGCTGGATTCGGCGAGTCCAAGAATTCCTGCCGAAACATCACGGAGCAGGACAAAGACTCAAACGATACCAGAACCGTTTATAGCTGTTCTCGCTCAACCCTCCTTCTCGCCGGTCAACCTTGCAGTTGCAAGTTCACGCTCTGGAGAAGGAGTTGAATCCTGCGGACAGACTGCATGAAAATTGACGGCACCACGCAGTCCTCGGATCACTCCAGTACCACTGGCCTCCATGGGAGCCGGCGTGACCACCGTGCCTTGCTGTCTTTCGCAACAGGAACCCCATGACCGGCTGTCTTGTTTCGACTTGCGATACACCAAGCGCGGGCTCCAGCCCTGCTGCGTCGACTGTGTTAATGTCTATGCTCTGCTGCTATCATACCGAGTGGCCGAGGTCTGTTCCCACCGGCGTTGGGGCCTCGGTCAGATTCAGATGACGATAGAAACAAGGCTGACAGTCTGTCAGCTAACCAGCTAACGTGATCAAGCCGATGTTGCTTCCGAACAGCGTCAGCCAAGGACTATCCTCTGGCTCAGGGCAGCACCTGTGGATCATCCCAACCTGGAAGAAGCTAGGAGTGCAAGCATGGTGGCAGATCTTCAAGTCTTCAGCATTCGGCCAAGCTACTGAGTGACTTCGGGCGGGTTGCCTGCGACACCTTCGAGGCCTGGCAGTAGAAGTGCTATGCACACTGGCACATTCCGCCAATCTATACACAGGGGGACTCAAAACCCAAAAGCCAGATGGCGTCCAGAAACATGTTCACTCTTCATGATCCCTCACCTCATCTACTCTGCTAGTGTCTTCATGTGCATAAAAGAGCAGGCAACGCCCCAGGACCTGAAAAGTTGTCTCTCAGGGGCACGTCCAGGCTCTTGCAGTGGCACCACTGTGGAAGTACGGCAGAAGAACAATGCGAGTTTAGCCTTGCATGCTGCAGAGTTTAGCCTTGCATGCTGCAACGCTGGACCGCTTCGAACGTTCCTGCTCGAGGGTCGATAATTTAAAGAATTCGAAAGTGGCCACCAACAGCTTGCCATCTTTGGCGGGCCATGGGGCTCTTGGCTGAGGTGGCGTTGACCTTCCAGCCATGAGCATCCTAGTGCCGCCCACACCTTTGGGTGTCGGACGGGACAAATCCTGCGATGTGTGGAACATGCCGACAGCAATGCACTGTGCGAGTGGAAACCTTTTCACGTATCCTTTCACTATCCAACTTTGCCATTGCTGTGGCAAACCTATACTGACACTGTACTGCTTCATGGGCTAACACGAGACAGCACTTGTTGCAAGTGGTCTCGCAACGCTGGGAACAATGGGCACGGAATGTACTCAAGCATCGCGCAAACCCTGACACCTTAGAGGTTCCACGCATCTCTCATTGTTGTGTGAGTGGAGCATGTGAGGTTCAGACTGCCTGTGGCGGAACCTGCCAGTCGACGGGCGGACGAGCTCCTTGCGGGCCTGCGGAGGTGTATGCCAAAATGAATCATCTCGGACTGCAGCACTCGACAGATTGACGAACCAATGCAGCCAGTGAGATCGTGCGTAAGGTTCAACTTAGTTCAACTCACCGAAACTCAACTTCCAGAATCAGAAGACATAGCTCTGGGATGCTTACTAAGGCTGCTCCCGACGACCAATACATGTCCAGCGGAAGCTCCTCAGCCACCAAGCTCGGCTTGGACTTGGCTGCTATCCTCGGTGCGAACGAACCCAGACTTGGACAAGGTACCCTGGAACCGATGAGTGCAGCCACAGGAACGCCACCGAAGCTCTCGTGGCCCCATGTCACCTGAACTTTCTCGTGAGAAAATAGGATATCTGCCGGTTTTACAGGATGCGACACACGTGTGACATCGGAGCAGGCGAGATATCTCCGTGGTAGTGCATGGCGTCTGTACAACTGCCAAAAGATGAAGCTGAAAATGGCAACATGTCTGCCGTGTGTTGGGCTTTGGGCAGCTGCGGGAGAAGCATGAAGCTCTGCTTCCAAGAGACTAACTGTCCCGCGGCTGTCAAAGCAGCAAAAGCGCCCGTGGAGCCAACAATCTGCAATGGTCACAGACTGCCAACTTTAGCACACTTGCTGGCGGAAGAACACTTCGGCCTAACCCGCGTTCGACCAAGGTTTTCCTACCCACCGAGCACTGCCATGTACTGCCATGCTTCAAGGCCTGCTTGACCATCAAGAGGCGTTCTTGCACATCGCGACTGTCACCCCCTGCATCGCTTTGCCCCCAGCTGACGACGCTTCCGTCCTCCTGTGGCAGATGCTGAACTGCAATTGCCTTCGCTCAACATGCAGAACTGGGATTGTAGCTGGGGAGCCTTTGGAAGCTTACCTCAGCCATATCACTGACACTCTGTGCAGCATCTTGGCAGCAATATCCTTCGCAAGGCAAGGCTAGCTTCAGTTTGTCGCAGCTACCGTGAGAGCTGCTGCAAAACACGCCAAGCCGTGGGACTCTGGAACCGTGACGGTCATGGTCAACACTGATCGGGAAGAAACTCAGAACGAGGTAGCAGCAGCAACAGCGAGAGGGTGTCGAAGGAGGGGTGAGGGAATCTGCATCACGGACTCCCCTCTTCAACATTGGCCAAAGGCAGATTGGTTGTCTTGGACGTATAGAAATCAAATTTCCAAATATAGTTGCGAAGTTGTGTGCGTGGGGAAGGGGTATCAAAGTCGAAAACCTTACTTCATTTGTCAAACCACTATGTCGCGGACCGACGACATAGGATTTGTGCCACTGCTGTCACACTCACCCCAAATATAGGAATGACATCGACAACAACAGAAGCTAAGGCAGAAAAAATGTCAACTACGCAGCGATGGTCACATGGAAATTAGCCTTGATGGCGGCAAAGGCGTTTTCGGTCGCTGCGACCTGGCGAGCAAGAGCGGCTGCTTGGCGCATCCCTGTCGGAAAGGAGTCAAAATTCGTGCCAATTCGTGCTGCACCTCCTCCACGTTCACGAGCTGCTCGCGCACTGCGGCAATGTCACCGCCGCGTTCCTTACATGCTATCTGACAACCCCCCTCCATGCGAGCACCACCAGTCTCCTTCGTCATCACACCCAGAAAGCATCGCGAGTCCCTGAGTCCCTGATAGTCCCTGCTCCCACACGAGTTCGAGGACTGGCAGTGTGCTCTCTTCTTCTTCCTTCGGGCACAAGGGGTCAGTTAAACCCCCTGGCCGTTAGAGGACCCCCTTATTGAAGGGGTGTGAAAAACAGCAGTGCGCAGTCCCCCCGTTTCCAGATCGAAGGTCGGATACTTACATACAGAGCCCACTTTACGTATTACACCCTGCGTAGGAACTGTTCCCCTGCTGTCGACCAGAAACATGCACTCAGTACTGGACACCATTAAGGATTTGACGTTTCCCCAGAGGATCACGAGCAACATGGAAACACGAGCAAGAAGGGACAGATACGAAGGATTGCATGTCTTTAGGGGGAAACTTTCACTCATCGGGTAAGTGCTGGCATGGGTGTCCCCAACGTAAACACAGTTGAGATACAAGGTACTATACTCTCTCTCTCTCTCTCACGAGGCTGCCGGTCTCCTTCGCCCTCAGCTAGCTCGGCGGCAATGTCCAACCAGCTGACAGGCTCCAGCTGCTGTGGATATGCACTGGCTACTGAAGACGACTGTAATGGCCTATCTCGAATGCCGACAGGACTCCGAGCATTGATGCTGCAGAGATACATCCATCCGCTAATTGCACAGATATCGGACAACAAAACAAGTATGGCCAAGCAAAGATGGCGCTGAGCATCAGCTGACAGAAGATAGCCCGACGAACCCACTATGCACCAACACCAGCACTAAATCCGTAACTCTCTCTTTTTGCTTGTTTGCTCAGGGCATGGGCCACAGGCAGTCTCTAGGATCCCCACGGGTGAACCGCCCCAATCCAGCAATGTTGGTGTGGTGGGCTGGCTTAGTCTCTAGCTAAACGGCTTCGGCGAACCAGCTTCCTCCAGTGTTTAAGTCGCCCGGGAATTTCAGGGTCCAATGGCAGGTCGCAGGCAGCGCTGCGTCTGTGCGTGGGGCTCCGGCTTCATGTTCGGGACAAGGCAGGGTCAGGAAGGCAGGGTTCGGTAGCGAAAGTCACCCAGAAACTTCTTTCTACGACTCCTTCTTTCCCTCTCTCTCGCTGTCTGTCGTGGCCACCGATCAGCTCCAAGCTTCTGGATCTCCCCAGCAGATAACTTCGCCTGCGATGCGAGACTTTTCGTGGGACTGTTTTGCGGTATGAGTCCATAGCCAAGGCCTTCTTTCGTGATTGCTGCGAATGCACTGCCCGAAGGGATGATTGCCTGAAGGCGCCATGCTGCCGTGACGACCGTGCCAAGCTGCGAAAGCGAACAACTACACACCCATCATTCGGCATAACTTAACCCATGTCGAAGTGAACACAGATCCTCGGCTTGTAGCTGCTAGTAGTCTAGTGCGGGGTAAGCCCGTCTGTCCAGACCCTCGAGCGGGCTTGACTTTTGAGTCCATGGCCGAGTGGTGTAGCTGCTGTCACCCGCCCTGAAGCCGATGGCTACTGAAGCTTGAGACGAATCGCGTCGACAAGCGATTCGGCAGTCTGGCAATCCCTGCAACGGTGTCTGGCGACGTATGTGTTGGATGGTGTCGCCCGAGACGCATGTGTGCATACAGCACGAAACTGCCCATTGCACGCCACGTCCATCGACACCCTAACAATCTCCCGGCGCCACAAGAGGTCAGCTCTAGTGGATGTGTAAGAGTTCCGGTGGTCATAGTTCGTACGGATAGCAGGCTCCAAGCTAAAGCGGGGCATGCCCTGGCGGGCGTTGCTGATGAACCCAAGTCTTGTATAAAACCCTTTGTCGCACCATTACCTACTACGGGCAAATGCCTAGTGGTGCCCGGCGATCTCCGACATCGATTTAGTCGAAATTCATCGAGGTCGTCCACGAGACAAAAAAACAAGGCATTTTGGGGCAGGCCCTCGGAAGAAAACAGTGTCGATATGCCTTCAGGGTAAGCTAACAGAATGATGGACATGTTGGAGGCTGCATCACAAGCCACGGAAGAACAGAGGAACTTGCATCCAGGATGCTTTAGCATGCTGAATCCGACTGGTAAGATCCTTAGATGTTCGGCTAAGGGTCCTATGCACTGTCATGATCGCCATTGCTGCACTGCTATAGCAACTGCACTGCGGGGTGTTGTCCCAAAAGTTGAAGCCACGTGTCCGTTGCAGATCCACCAAGTTCCGGCAAACCCCAGCAAACTACGCTACCGTCGGACTTGACGGCAGCAAAGGCACCGGCAGTCGCCTCGTCAAGTCGAGAAGATCGAAACGGAATTGCTTGAAGATGGACGACTTACAACAATTCTCTCCGCAGAATTGGCTCCACGGCAGAGACACTCCAAGGGAAGCTTAGACCGTCGTACCCTGTCAAGCCATGCTCGGCATGCAGTGGGTACGGCCCGTGATCTCTTATGTGAAGCCTGCTGCTCAAACAAAGCAACTCAAAGGATGATGCGAGAATACCGCTGCTGCACAAAGCGTCAACTTCTTGCTGTTGCTGAGGCCCTGCCTGCAGCTATGCAAGGATAACCTGATCCCCTGTCAGCTGAAACCTCAAGATGGGCAGTCGCCCGCTACAAAAAGACGCCACAGCGGGAACCTGCAGGCTTCGAACTCCAACCAACTCTGCTGCGACTTTGCTGGCATCGCCACCTCAATCGAACAATGACCGACGAAACTACAAAACAAACTGCCACGGGTGGATTCTGTAACAAGGACCATGGGTCCAAATCCTGCACGCTGCACGCTTGCTCGGAAACGTTGACTCTCGAGGAGTTAAACTTGCTCAACCGATTAAACCGAAAACCCGACTGTTCAAGCTAGGGCACCGAACAGCGGATCCCCCCAGACCACAACATCACCACTGCCTGTTCGGGTCCAATGTGTCTTGCGAAAGATCTGCAGAACATGCTAGACGTGCGACAAGCAAATGCTTGAAGCGGTAACTACAGGCACAAGTGGGAAACGACAGCATCACTTGTTGGGATCATTCGGCATCCACGGTGTCTGGTGGTGCTTCTGTGATGGACATGATGCGAGCTTTGTCACGGAAATCAAAACCCTGGAATGCTCGATCCGAACCCTTCGCATGGCCTGGATGAAACTAAGACAATTGGCACCTGATGTATCGCATATTGGACAGTTGCAGACCAGCGTAAGCAACAGGATCCAAGACGTTTGCCCTTTCACTACACTCACCTGCCTGTAATGGCCGCGAAAGCTGCTGAGGTTGCACACATGCTCTGCACCTTGGTGTTTGCAGACCCAGCTATCGAAAGCACAGCTCTCTCACAGCCCGCAGAAGGTTCGATTAAGGCTGCAATATCTGAGGTGCTTGCATCTTGAAGCTGCGCTGAGACACTTCGGCTGTCGCCCCCGTGACCTGGGAGCAAACTCTCAGAAGATGACGCTGCAATAAGCACCACACTGTAAAGAGTGAAGGAAACGCCACGACACGACGCCCTCCAGGCCCGCTCACAAGGCAAACTTTCCAGCCGGAGCACAGGCCGAGCCCCAGGTGATCACGGAGCCATGAGCCGTGAGGGCGGCAAAAGCAGCACCAGAGCCACCTTGGAGGAGGCTCCGGGGTCAAGGGTTAACACGACGGCGCGTCGAAGTGCACACCAAAACGCAGATGTGGACGACATTCTTCAGATCCTCGTGCACCTAAGGGCAAGTTGGCTACATGTGGGTTCCGAAAGATGCTATTCTGAATCACCTGTCGAAGAACAAACACTAGCAAGCAGCTAGTGCGTGTGGCCCTGGTGGAGTAACTGATCGGGAATACCCCACCACAAAAATTGCAAATGTTGACGCGGCGACAGGACCAGCAGAAGCTCTTCCCGAGAAAAGTCGACCGAAGGGTGCATGCAGAAAGCCATGACTGTCGGCGTCGTCTCTCTTTGAGTGGCCTGAACGATCCTCCTTCAGAGCATGAATCCCTGGCCATTTTCCTTGACGGCAAGACGCAACAGAAGAAAACTCAACAGCGGCCGGACCCATCATGCCCAAGGAAGGCTCTTACACAGACGCAAAACTATTGGTCCGAGTAGTTTTGTATCAAACCAACTTCCTGAAAGTGCGACAAGACCAAAGCCCATCCTGCACCTCCGCTAAAGACATCGGACACAGCTTCCTGTGTGAACTCGCACTGGTCGGCCGTCGAAGGGATGACAAGCACCGAAAACAGAGGAAATAACATGCTGATCACGGATTGACCCTGACTTCGTTTGTCTTGCAGCACCTCTGTGCAGTCGCCACCCCAGTCCTCCAAGGGCTACGCATGCCGAAGTACTGCAAGCTTACTGCACTTTCTGGTTCGCTTGGCCAACAAATTGTTTGACAGATGCTTTGGTAGGTAGCTGTAGCTCGCAGACCATACGCTCGGCTTAGGTTTGTGGATGTAAACTGTCGTCGCACAGCGATTCAACAGCGGCCGCGGCCAGCTCTGACGGGGACGATGGACTGGGGGCAAAGGAGCGCTGAAAGCCTGCTGGCGCGGTGCACCGGCGATGTTCTGGAACTGAAAGCTTGCGTGTGAGTGCTTGCCACATGCAGTACAAGCTAGGAAGCCATTACCAATGTGCAGTAGCAGGGTCCTCGTCGCCCCAAGTGACGACGGCACCATCGACACCTGGTGAGGAGATCATGAGCATTGCCGTGTGAAACGGTTCGATTTGATTTCCGAATCACGAAATTTGCGTAGCTCCAGCAACCGTATGGACCGCACCGCGTAACACCTCCCTGAAGATCTCTCATATGCGGGAAGGAAACGGATAGCAGCGAAGGCTCCAGCTGTGCTGAAGATTTTCTGAACGTTCTGTAACTCCTTTTCGTGTCGTGCAGCTGCTGCATGCACAAACAGAAAGGGATTAGAATACGCAGGCGGGTTCCGGGCTGGATCGACCGGTGTATGCTGTGACACAATGACTGTACACCCAAAATGCTAGGCTTTGAAAAGCTTTTGCAAGAAAGGCTTTTTCTACACAAGTCAAGTGTGAAGTGGGTGTGATGACTTTGGCACAGTCCTCCTGGACTGCATCGCTATCACCACCCAGATCTTCGCAGCCCCAACTGACCTCATCACTTGCGTTGCGCTAAGTCTGTCTGTGTCTGATCTCCCCTCGGACTCATATTTCCGAAGCATAGAACCAGCCGAGCTTCCACGGTGCCATCACGCCGAAGCGCTGCACAGGCTCGTGCTGTCATCTTCACCTCGGTTCTCTGTGAAATCAATATAAATATATATGTATATATATATGTATATACACATATGTATGTATATAGTGTGTATATATATATATACATGTATGTATGTATGTATGTATGTATATATATATATATGTATGTGCATATATATATATATATATGTATATAGTGTATGTGTATATATATATGTATGTGTATATATGTATATATATACATATGTATATATATATATATGTGCGCCTCCATGCAGCCCCTTCAGGCCATTCAGTCAGGTAACATCCCAAACATTGACAAGTTCATCTTGGACATCACTGCTGTCTCCACCACTGTCTTCATCGCCCCACGCAATGACTGAGCCGTCCTTCTGAATGGCGCAGATAGCATGCGACAGACGGTTTGCGTGTAGCTGAAGCTTGGGCTTTGCCATAAATGCTCCCACAACATCGCCATCCTGAATACCAGCGTCTTGCAAAGTGCTCGTCCCTCGGAGAAACTCCGCACCACCTGGCTGAACCAGAATCCCTAAAGAAGTCTGGAGCTGGGATTCTGCAGCTTTGCGGAGATCTTCGACAGAGCTCCCCGGCTCCATTTCCACGAAGACACTTTGCCCGCTGAGGATTGCTACGGAGACGTGTAGACACATGCAAGGTGCACAGGACCGCAGGGGTGCGGTGAAACCGGCACCTGGCACGTCGGGTAATAAGAGATTCGCTATCGAGGCGTGAATCGTAAATGGCTGCAGGGAGCGCACATCGAACTGCCAGCCACAGGAGAGAAGTAACCCGGCAGCCACTGATCTCCGAATGCTCTGCACTTGCACATGACAGGACGAGTCCTGAACGAAACGTCTTAAAGCGATTAGCAACCCGATTGCTAAATTTGCGGGAGATGCGAACTTTTTCTTGAATCCCGCCTGATTGAAAACGATCGACTCGTCATGACTCATCTGCACATGACCCATGCCTGGCTCTGCCTCTTCTCATGACAGAGTTTACGGCAAGGGTGAATGAGGGATTTCTGATGGATTCGGGCGTCTGCCATGTGTGAATTTGTGCAGAACTTGCCGATCCATGCTGTAGCCTCCGCTGTTTGCACCGCGAACACTAGTTACACTAGTTGCTTCGCGGTGCTTTCTTCCTTGTCAACCCTGCAGGAGGCCTGGTCTTTCGAAAGCTTTCTTCAAGCCAGGCCCGGAAAGATCTCCTGAAAGCTATCCATGGCACAACGAGGCCACAAGAGGCCAAAAGGTACTCTTGCCACGGGAACATGGAAACTTGAACACAAAAGCGGGAAACCAAGTGCCTCTGTGTGCGGCCTCGGGCAAGTAGGCACTAAAAGTAGTGCACATGCAACAACCGTTGGACAGCCCGTCGCATTCGAACTATGCGCTCAACCAGCCTCTGTTGGACCAGCTCAGAGCGATACGACGCAGCCAGCCGTAGATGTGCAAGGCACTCGAATGCAATCGTCTAAGAAAAAAGAATTCTACCACCGGAAAGGCAGCTTTGCCATCCTGCAGCCCAAAAACACAATGTCACAAGTGACACGGCGAAAATCTTTTCAGCTATGCAAGACGATGACACATTGGGCAACTCCGCCTGTCGGACCTCACGAAAGTAACAAGCATGCTGCGACGGCTCTATTGTATCAAGACCCATGTTTCGACCTGGGACTCTTGCAAGACCAGGTGCACCATAAATACACAAGAAAGTTCAGGTGTGCCAGCAGCTGATTCCTTGCTGGCAGTGGGGACGATCTGCAGTGCCAGTGTTCACACGGCTGGCTGTTGGTCTAAATTCCTTCATCCCGGAATGACCTTCTTCACGAATAAAAAAGTACCTTTTGCGCCACCATCGCGAAATTTTCGCGATGGCATATTTACACACTTGCAAGTTAGAACCCTAAGTTATAAGCTACAAGCTTCTCGATGACAAGTTGTTGCGGGCATTATAATTAAGAGCTTCTGGCAGGCTTCCTAGGGGTTTCAGGGCTGCGTAAAAGCAACCCAGCCGTCTTAGGGTTGAGATTATTGACAAAGTTTCCTGGTTTCTCGATTGCAATCATTTTGGGGGCATAATTGGTTGAGAGTTTCTGGGAGCCTTTCCTACAGGCTGCAGAGCTTCTGTAGAGCTGCCTAAGGTTGTCTTAGGGTTGGATTGCTGACGATGTCCATCGGGGGGTGGCCTTCATCTGACTACGTCGACTTTATGGTCACTGACGCGGAACTTACGCGCTAAACCCTGTACGGGAACCTAATTTTTGGGTCTGTCGTTGCTTACACTGAGGGTAGCAATATTAAAAAATAGTACCAGCACTAGTACTAGCTTTGTAGCTTTGAGCGCAGCATTTGTCGAGACACCAGGCGGCGGTTGCGACTAGAGCACTCGCCCCGGCACCTTCGTAGGCGCACAGCTTTGCTGTCTGAGCACAGTACTAGTACTAGCACCAGTACTAGTAACAGTAGAAGTAGTATGAACGGTAATAGTAGTAGCCGGAGGAAGTAGTAGTAGTAGTAGTAGTAGTAGTAGCAGTAGTAGTAGTAGTAGTAGTAATGGTAATTTGTTCTGTGATAGTGCTAGTGATAGCAATGGCCACATAAGGGATCCCTTTGGATTAAATGAGTTCGGAGCGACATACCATCGCGGCACGGGCATGAAACTTTACATGAGTCAGTTGCATCAAGTCTGGGGATGTGGCGTTTCAGAGAGAATCTATCTTTCTTCCTCAAGCGAGATGTGGCGATTCGTGACAAACTCGTTCATTTTCAAGGTCGCGACTGTCTGGTACCATCAAGTATGAGAGCAGCCAGCGATGATCAGTTCTCTAATTTCAGATTGCGCATGAAGTGATGCCACTAGTGATTGATGCAGCATTGCTGCTGTGTGTCGTAATTCTCGCCGCTCAATAAGGCTACCGGCCCGGGCGAGGCACGTGTTGCATGTTTTTTGACTTTTTGACTTTTGTTCATATGGGCCCACGCTCCTCGTAGGGTTTAGCTGTCCTTGTTGGCTGCCGTCTCCCAGACATGCCCCCACGCAAAGACGTTCTCGAACGTTTGCGCCACGGAAGGAAGGAAGGAAGGAAGGAAGGAAGGAAGGAAGGAAGGAAGGAAGGAAGGACTGGCACTAGCAACAGTACTTGTAATAGTAATAATACGGCAAGTAGGCTAAACAGATAACTTTCACAAAAAAAAAAAAACTAGATTTAGCGGCACCATCGCGGAACTTTCGCGAAGACATATTTAGCTATGTAGTTGGCCGTTCATACAAAACATGGCATAGCTCATGGAGGCTTAGATCAACTACCAGCTGGACAACTGCAGGCTTACTTCGAGACCCCAACATCCAAATAAGCGGTGTCGATCCAACAGAAAACCACGACCATACACACTGAATGCGAAGGAACAAACGACCAGACAGGCAGATTGAACAAGTTCCAGTGATCATCGGTCGATGTCAGGCATGATCGGGCGAGATACAACCCCTGGCAAGGGGCAAACGTCCACCCATCTCGCACTCGTATCCTCTAGGCAAGATGATGACGCTCCTGCTACCAACGGCGAACGAACGAGAGTTGACCGCATCATCACATGAAAGAAAGGTGAAGCAATGCGGCAGGTCTACATGCCAATCTAAGCAAAACGCCTGAACAAGAAAGGCTCAAACCTCATCGGCGGACTCCAAGCAGAAAGCAACACCATGGCGACGAAGAGAACAAAGGAAAAGAGATCTGACCTGTCTGAAAGTTGAAGACGTGCAAACGTGAGGCAGCCACATAGACTGTGGCAGTCTTCTTGCCTTTGAACATACATCGAGTTTGCACTGGCACTGGCAGTGAAGACAGTGGCGGCGACCACCGCATCTGTGGCAGATCTATACAAGCCGGGAACTACTCGAAATCCAGAGCCAGAAATGGGAGTGAAGGCAAGGCTCTACGGAGGCCGATTGCATGGCACTGCTCAACCTACGTGCAAGCATGAGTACCGGCCAGACCTGTGAACTCGGACCATGTGCTGGATGTGTGTCTGGTGTCGTTTGCCCTCTCGGCGAAGACGTCACTTGATGCACACAACTTCGCGGCGATAACACCCGTGTAAAGCATTGACAACGCTCAAAACGCTGGAATGTTGCTCCTTTGTGCTTTAGGGAAACTCGGTGACAATTGTCTACACACTTTGCCACATTCCTGGGTCGTGGGTCGCGTAGAGGTTCTCGTGAGGAGCATGACTGCAAGGAGGCATCCAGAGCTTTGTTTGAACAAGCGCTTTGTCATACCATTGTATTACGTTGTAACAACACATGCTAAGTCATACCTCATATCATATCATGGTACAAAATGTGGCATGTTGAGTAGCATTCTTTGCAAGAGCGCCACTAACATGTTCTGGCCCTGGCTCAGATCCTTATGCGATCTACACCGGCAGAAGTAAGTCGAGAGAAGATGCAGCCGAGCACAGCCGAATTCAAGCTCATTATCGGATGATCTGTGCGAACAGGGAATCTGATCCTGTAAACTTCAATAGCAGCTCCCCGGTCACGCTCCCAGTCACCTCTTGGCCTTAGCCTGAGTCTGACCTACGAGCTTCTGAGCTGCATCCGGATTCAGAACCGGTGCTTGCTTGGCATCAGGCTCTCTGCCACGAGCAGGCCGATCTTTCGATCTCGCTGCTCAGCCGTCTCCTGCGGAAGGGAGATGCTCTCTGCTGAATGAGCTAGATCATGCTAGATCCGTTCTAGGCAGCTGCTGTCGGCTTGCTTGCCCTGGTCGATGGGGGCCTCTGTAGCCACAAGAACAACAGGACATGCCATGCCCACTTGCCTTGTAGGTCTTTCGAAGACTCCAGGAGCTGATGCTCCAATTCGCCGTTGTCCTTGGAGAGCCCCGAACACAGCTGAACCTCGAGATCAACCTTTCGTGTCAATAGAATAGAGGATTCATCGAGATCTGCGGTTCGCTTCAGAAGAGGATTCAGCAGTTCCCATCCGAGCCGCCATGTTTCCACAGTCTTCATGGCCCCAGGTCACCTTTGACCGGTGTTGCGTTTGTCAAACTCTGGAGGTGCAAGAAGCGGCAGGGTTACAACTCAAATGACTGTCGAGACACCAACGAATCAAAGCCAGTCAAAGCTGCAAAGGCTCCACCGGACGCCACTACCTGCACCCGAGACTACACACTGACGCCCCCCCCGCACAGCATGAGAATGCAGGTCGGGTTGAGCAATGCCTTTGGTGCGCGAAACTTCCTTGCTCTAAGCGGGACAGAACTGCTGAACTGAATGTCATGAGCCAGCCTGCTGCACCATCATCAGCCTCTCCTAGACAGCAAACGTCATCTTTACGGTAGCACCTCTGCGGCCTAAGGGAGCCACAAGTGCTGGCTGGAGCAAAACAGTCCGGCTCTCCTGAACCCGCGAGCTGTCACCGCCATATTCTGGATGACCCCAGGTCACGACTGTACCGTCAACCTGCTGTGAGAAGAGGATTTTGCAGCTGTCGACACAACAAATAAAGCCGCCGATTTCTGTAGCCGCCCTACAAATGGCGTTACATGTCAATGCCTTGGTCCAATGACAGGGAAGGCTTCGGGTGCCCACCTTGAGCGCAGCGAAGGCTCTCTCTGTGGCAGCCACCTGGAAAGCTGAAAAGGCTTTTAACTCGGCAAGTATGTGGGCCTAGATGCCAACAACAGAATCAACATGCGTAACGAGATCTCTTTGCTTATTGGGTGCTTGCATCCAACAATGGACCCGCGACTCACCAGTGAAAATGTCCGAAGGCACAAATACACGTGCTGTCTGTGAGATGCTGGAAGGACAAGCCCACACGACCGTCCCGCATGGAGCAATGTTTAGCAAAGCCAAATGATGAGGTTGCAAAAGCGACATGTCCGAGAGGAGGCTGTGGACTGTAATCAAAGAAGAAACTAGTACGTAACTGGAACATGGTCACCAGCAGCCTCGACCACGTCCACGAGGTTGTCTCGGACGCAACTACTGTTGCCACCGTACTCCTCAGGCTCAAGCCGTCGCAGCCGCAAGGCACCAACCGACTCTATGAACTCACAGTCGGACCCGTACACAAATTCCAGCACTATGGTCCGTCGACAGATACAGCGGAAAGCCGCACATCAGATAGAAGTTGGGCCACTTCTGCGAAAGCGGATCTTGCATTTGTCTTTGCCCGTTCAAAATTCGATCGTTGGACAAGGCCCCTTCCGTTCTAGAGTACTGCCTGGCACAGTCCCAGAAAGCACAACTACTATTCTTGCAATGGGAGTTTGTTAAGTCACTGTCGATCTCATACAAAAGCTGAACGACATGTGAAGCAGCATCAGAATCCTACCGACCACCGACGAAAACTTACCCGGGACGACGGCTCGGGACACCTGTGCAGAAGTTCCGCTCCCCTCGCAATATCTGCTCTCTGCGATTGCACAGAACAAACAGAAACACACAGCGAAGCGATAACGTCCTGAAGCGCCATTGCTGTGCTGTTTAGATACTTAGTACCCGACCTGCCACCGAGAATCAGAATCGCCCCAGGTCGTGACCGTGCCATTCGCCCTAATGGCTGCGAAAGCGCCGCCGTTTGCACGCACACTGCGCACTTGCAGCAGCTGCTCTTGTGTCGCAGCTGCATCTCCCCCCAATTCCTTCAGCCCCCAAGCTGTGACGTGTCCGTCATCATGGATTGCAGCGAAGGCCCCAGCCGTTGCTTCGATGCGCTGGACATGACTGAGAGTTTCAGCCAAACTTCCGTCTGCCCCCATGTCAGGATCACCCCAAACTATGACAGTGCCGTCTCGACGGACAGCAGCGAAGGCTGCTGAAGTCGCCTGGATCTGAACAACTTCGGTCAACTTGTTCGCGACGGCACTGCTGTCACCACCATGTCGAGCCTTTGATTGGCATTCTCACGGAATGCTACAACAGGTCTGTACTCAGCAAGTTGCAAATGCTAAAGGCAGATGAAGGTGCCGATCCCCAGGTGACCACCGAGCCATTGGCAGTAATGGCTGCAAATGCGGCGCCCGATCCACAGAGCTGCACAACCGTTGTGAGCTTATCGCGGACATCCGAGCAGTCGCCGCCCCAGTCCTCATCGCCCCACGTCACGACAGAGCCATCACCTCTGCAGCGCAGCTACAAAGCAAGCGGCACGCGATGTAACTTCATCTGCATGCACTGCTCCGACCCACGCCGGACGGCCGGGCGGCTTGGGAGATATTGGTGGCAAGGCGGGATTTGCACGCCTACCCACATTTCTAGAGGGCCTGTAGGCTTCGGTAGGTGCTTCGAAGTGTTACGCTTAGCACTGCGAGGAGCTGGCTTGGTCGATGCTGGCCCTGAGGCACCTAAACCTAGTCGCCTTTATGGGCAACTGCTGCCTTTCGCGCACTTAAGCGCCCAGCCGAATCAGGGACCTTCGGCAGCCCACCCTCCCCCCACGACCGCGTTTCTCTCCGCGCCTTTGACAACGAAGAGATTCCAAATCGCGTCAGGTCAAAAAGTGAAGTCCTGTGCTTGCTACTATGCTATGCCGCTGTGCCAGTATACACTTTGGAGTCAAATCACGTCACATCTGTACGTCTAAAATCTCAACCACTCGAAAATGTCTCAATTCCCGGCCTCTGCAAGCAGCAAATGCACCGGCGGTGCTGCTAATAAGCTGGACATCGAAGAGTTCGTCCTCGACGTCGCTGCTGTCACCTCCAAGATCCTCACAACCCCAGGTGACCACACCTCCGTCTTTTCGAATGGCCGCGCAGGCCCTGACGGACACATGCACCTCTTTCACATCTACCAGCTGGCTCTGTACGCAACTGCTATCACCACCACTTTCCTCCTCTCCCCAAGTTAACACAGTTCCGTTCTCACGAACCGCCGCGAAGGAATGGGCTTGCCGACCGGAGAAGATGTTGATGGAGGGCTTTCTTGCCAAAGCGCACACAAGGTCTCCACTTCGAAGACCTTCGCCGTGCAGCGTACTCGAGTCATGTAATGCCTTGGTAAGAGACTGCAGAGCAAAGGGATTCCACTGACACGGCATGAGACGACCATCTAGCAAAGCTAAAACTTTGGCTTTCCGAGGCTAACCTAGGTGCTCGAGACTCTCCTTGCGCTACGAGCACACCCAAGTGAGTCTCCAGCTTTGCCTCCGCAACCTTTCTCAGGTCTTCCACAGAGCAGTGCTTCTCCAGATTCACCGATGCACTGTGCCCACTAAGCAAAGACACAGAAAGCGCCAAAGTCATACGTTCCGTAGGTTCCAGGAGTCTGGTTGTCAGGTCCTGATAAAGCCTGCAAAGGCTGCGGCGAACTCTGCTATCGCCATGACCAGCTACCTAAATCACTCCTTCGTGTGAAGTCTCGACACAGCTTCTGCATCCGGCGCTGCTCAGATGTTTCTGCCTAGTCCAGCAGCCGCCCAGATATCAAGAAAGGCTTGCACTGATCAGTATTTGCCTGAAAACTGTTCTGTCGTCACATCTTCCTGCTACCCGAAGCTTCGCTGCCGTTGCCAGTGCTTCCTTCTGTCCATCGACAAGTGTCAGCCTAAAGTATCAAGACAGCACCTCCGGACGCATCTCGAGGCCGCAGCTTTGCAAATTCGGAGACGCTTCCGACTCGAGAAGTGAAGTCACCCAGTGCCTGCACCCGCGAAGCAGACTGACTCCGGACCGTATGAGCAAGGACAGCCAAGCTCTTCTCGAGTGGTGAGTTGTGGGCATTTGGAGCATGGCCTTTGAGGTTGCGGATGGAATGTTGGATGCTCCGGAGATAACCGCTGCTCCGGAGATAGCCTGAACACACAGATCTGCAGTCTTTGCAATGAAACTCGGAAAGATCACAGTGTACGAACGAGACAGAACCGCTACATCCAACTTCCGATTGCTCGGGCCCGGACGTTTTGGACGCCTGACTGGTATGCAGAAGGAGCAAACGAGGTGCCGGCACAGCCACAAGACAGACAATGGCTTCAGTGGCCCAGCCCGACCCAACTCAAACACTTTCGCATTGGAGTGTGCTCAACTTGGCACTGGCTCGTGAACATAATACTCCGACCAGCCTGCGCGGGCATCCTTCGTGCATGCGCCTGCCATTCGACACATGCCATGGCGAGACAGTGAAAAAGCGAAGTTTCTCAAAGACTTGTCGAAGACAAAACTTGAAATGGCAGCAAGATCGCGTCCGCAGGCAACATGATACAGACAAGGCATTAATTCCGAGTTACTGTCATGCGCAACTTGGCAGCTTGGCAGCAGCTACGGCTCGGAGCGTTGATCGTGTGCGGTAGCTTAGGACTTGCGCCGATATGACCGAAAGGATCCTGGAAGAAGAAATCAAACGTTCGATCTCGCGAAACAGCAGTCTGCCTATTCTGTTTGACATGGACACATACAGGATGACAAGTTCTGCAAGGCTGGTTTCGGGATGTTTGAAAGCAAGAATGAAAAAGCCTTCTGGGTTTTGCTTGTGGAACTCGCATTGGAGTCGGTAGCTAGCTTCACCGCTCTACATGCTCGACGCAATTTCCAGAAGAACCAATGAATCCAGTGCCTCTTCCAAAGCGGAGTCATGATCCTTAGCACGCAGGCACTCCGGTGCCACACGACTGCACTTAACAGATGTGTGCCAAGATGTGACCCCTTTCCAATTTAGACGACATCTCAACTCGACAATTCCAATGCCAAGGATGCAGCGCCCCCTAAGAGCGGCGGTGACAGCATCCCTTGGTGCAGTGCAAGTCATAAGAATCGCCACGCAGCCACACAGATAAGATACCTGCACCACATGGGAACTACCAGAAGCATCAAGAGCACGAACAAGCCCGGTCGTAGTCAAGTGCTGCACCGAGACCACGCTCGGCAGGGGCGGAGTTCGGCCGCTCCTAGCTGTAGAAACGATGTCTAAGTCTATGAGCAGCAACATGACCCCCAAAAACAGTACGAACCAGCCTGCGCACGAAAGGGATCGCCGAAAGTGAAGCTATTGGCATGCGGTCGATCCTGGCATGTTGTTGGCGCAAGACATAGAAGCTGTGCATGTGAGAAACACCAGTACACTGTTCTTCCCGGGGTCATGAGCGATTTACCTGAATCGGAAAAGGGTGCCATGCCGTCAAGAAACTACTGCTCCGGCAGGATTGACCCACAGAACTGGATACCAGGTCACACACCACTCCGTAGCTCAATTATCGCAATGTTTGGCTTCAGCTGCCTGGTCCGACAACAGCTGCTCGGCCTGTGAGACGTGCTAGCTGCTGTCACCAACAACTTGCACGGCCAGTGTATGCCACTGCAGTCGAGCCGACATGCTCAGCCGACTCGCGCCTCTTTGTTGGGGGCTGGAGACCCGATAGGACTCAAGGAGGCAGCACCTTCCAGGCAACATGACATCACAGCTAGATGTGCAGTGCGGCTTCTGAAGCTTCTGGAGCTTTCTTGTCCGCAGAAGATTTCTGTTCCCAAAACGTGCACACCGAGGAATTCCAACACCGGCCTGGCGAGCGCTTTTGCCAGCTGTACCTTGCGGGACCTGCAAAGGAGCGGCTGGCTTCGGATGGCTTCAAGATGTAGCAAAGACGAGAATATGACGTCGCTTGGAGGCAGAAAGCAAACATTGCTACGGATGTGACACGGGAACATGAGTCTCCTCGTGTTCAACATATCAGCTTAAAGGTCTTGCGAAAGAACCATAGTCCTCCTGCAGCCATGCATGCATGGCTGCGGGTCCCCTCGGTCTTGCGCATCGTCCTACCTGTCGGTTCGGGCGTTGTCGTTCGACCCAGCGCCCCGGCCTCACGGAAAACACACATGCGCATCAATGCTCGCACTCCGGTGCTCATTGCAACTAAACTTTGTCACTTGGACGTGCATCCAAACCTCGTCCTCGCGAATTGGCGCGATTTCGATGCTCATGGGCCAGAACCCATACCTGAAATTCATACATCCGATGCGATGCAGCGAACCAACGCTTGCTTCCATACGAAGTAATCCCCTGACAAAAAACACCGCAGAAAGGACTACAAGTTATAAATTATGGATCCGAAAAACAAGCCCTTAAAGAATAGGGTTTATTAGTCAGGAGTCTGCATTGTGCAAACGTCATTGCGGCCAGCTTACTGGACTCTGGTTCCAGTCGCAACGTGTTTGCGCCCCTCCAGCCCCCGGGCGCTGTGAGAGATGCTAAACTGTCGCATACGGCAACATCTACCATCCTCGTGGCTTGCGACATAACATCCACGTCTGAGTCTAACTTCAACTTATGAATGGCAGCAAAGTGCCCGATGACGACCAATGGTAGCGTCATGATTGTGAACGGTTGCGCCTTGAAAACCGAAGATGATGCCTTCGATTGGTCGAATTGATTCGTCACTACGGGGAAAATAAAACTCCACAGTTTGGGCGGGCGAAACCTGCGAACCCACGTGACCAAAAAAATCAAGCCATGACTGTTGCAAATTGCTTATGATGGTGCCAACAAAAAGATCTCCGCTCTGCCATGTACCAAAATCCGAAAAAGGTGGCCCGCAAGCAATACGTACTTGCTTTTGACCATGTAGTCGTTTTGCGATCAACGGACATGTCAACACTAAGAACACCTGCTTTAGTTTTGGAATGGCTTACACAACAAGTTTCTTCACTGGACAGCTCCGAATTCCAAGCGTAATTGTTGATGATTGCCTGAAAAATCAAGAAAACTGCTCATGCTGCAAAAAATCGACGAAAAGCCTGGCTCTGGGGGAGGCTGCCTTTAAGGAAGTGTTTGAAAGACGCTACCAAGTTTTTGTGCGGGATGCTTGCAAAAGATCATAACGCGGCTTGTGCAATGCTTAGCACAACGATTGGGCACGAGACAAGATATGCTGCAAACGGTGCTACAAACACATCCTATGCTTGAAAGAGCCGTTAGGCGTGGTTGCAAGACAAAGACCGCTGATACAGAGCACGAATATTTAACACATCACCAAACCAAGTGGCCTCTTCGTCGAGTGCAACTTCAAATGCTTTGCTTTGTGTGAGGTGCCTCAAGTTGGAAAGAAAAACATTCAAACATTTTAGAATGTTTTTTTTTGGTTCAAAAAACTTTAGATAAAAAATCTTTTTAGCGCGCGCAGCGCGCGCGTAGAGCGCGCAGCGCACGCGTAGCGCGCCCAGACGCGAAAAC